GCCAGATGCCTGTCTTCGGGTCCACTTTGTTGTGGTGCGCTTGGTTGCCGATGTGCTCGCCGCGTCCTGGTGATACGCAGCGACAAACTCAGCAAATGCAGCTCCAGGGAAACTTTCGAATGTTGTGGTGGCAATGCGCTCCGCTGCAACTACCGCGTGTTCGCGGTGATGCGCGCGCAAGTTGCAGCATTCTACCTGCCCACGCACAACCCCCTTTAGATATGCATCACTTAGAAATCGATTTGCATGTCGCTTGCCCACGTCATCCAAAGATTTCCCGCCATGTTGAGCATGTAACTGTTCGTGTCCTTTCTGAAATTCTTTGATTTCTCCGTGTCCCATAGGCTGACTCTTGGAGCAATAATCGGCACAATATCCCGTCTGTGCGTCTTGTGCCCTTTGCGCCGCAAGGGATATTTCATGCCGTTCTTGCGTTGTAAGGGTGTCCCCACAGGTTCGACAGGTATAAGGTAGTCGATATGGGACTTGGACATCACAATTCGCGCCGCGCAGTCCGGCTAACATGGCTGGTGCACAACCATTCAGCCACTCATGCCCGTACGGTCCATGCAAAGCTCCTAAGCGGTTCTTCCGTCCTCGAACTGGCATACCGTACAACTGTAATTTGCAGGGGCATAACACAGTTGCTTCTGAGCAGAGCCACTGGGTGCGAGGAAATTCGCTCTTGCACAATCCGGGCCGATCGCTTTTTTGGCACCCTGCTAGTGGAACGCGTGCTTGCGTCACGTCATTATATGGATGGTAGTGATGCTGCTTTAGAAGCTGCAATTGAACAACGTCGTTTTCTAAGTACTGTTTTTGCCATTCGGTTGCCTCTGTTTCTAGATCGTCTGCTGCCGCAGCACGACGCAAGAGATAGTCGGGCAATGCGGTCATAGTAGTATCATGCTCATGCGACGGCCACGATGCTTCGGCATCCGCAATTCGCACATCCATTTCCGCAGACGATTGACTGGCATAGCTTGCGTGGCACACGTGGGCGTTATATGCTTCGTATTCGCGACGTAACGCGTCCAGGCGTGCACCTGACAATTGAAAAATGTCTGCTAATGAGGTATGCTGGTGTAGGCATTGAACGAAGACTTGCATGTGACCATGATGACCGCCTGTGCTCTTTTGCGCTTCTAAGGAAATGTAGACTGCATCTACGCGCCCAAAAATCCCACCGCTTGTCTCTGCATTGCTTCCGCGTTGGTCCTGACATGGTTCTAATCCAGCGAAGCGGTTGCAATCGGGACAAAAAGGACAAATACGGACACCAAACAGGTGCTTCAACATTAACTGTGTCAGCGCGCGAAATCCATCCACTGCAGCGAGAGGATCCCTTGCCAGAACTTCCCGACGCTCTGCCCAAGACATCGGTAACGTGAATTCATATTCAAATGGCCCTGGTGTCCCAGTACTTGCTGTGCCGAGGTCAGGGAAAAACATGTTGCCAGCTGGGAAATCTTGCGCGACAGATGCTGCGCGCACAGGATCAGATGCTTGCACGCGTGTCATGCGAACAAAGAGCAGCTGATGTGCTTCATCTGGCGTATAGGTGACAAATAATGGTACCCCATACCGAATTCGCATTGCTTGGATTTCGAACCGCATTCTCTTTCGCGCTTCCTGTGTCCCTGGTAACCCTTGTGCTGTATGTCGCATGTTCGTGAGCAATTTCCGCGCCATCGGTTTCAGGCCTTGCGCATATTTGAGTTTGGACACATCTCCTCTGACCGGGCGCGGTTGACCTGTAACATCTATATAAGCCTTCTTTTCAAATCTTAGTTGAATAAATGAAAACTTTAAAACCCTAACAACCTCAACAAATCCTGACCCAATCAATGATACTCCCCTAAAATAATCAACGAGGTTAGGATGGAACGTTTTTACCCAAAATGTCTTACAACATACATCACAAAAAACATCAACACCAAGGAACGCACGTTCCCCTTTAACATAAAAACCATAACAGGCAACAATGCGTGTAAAACTGTCCCAGAAACATCCTTTCCCCATTTTTTTTTGGGGGGGGGTGCAGGCCTGTACCATATATACGTTCTGACGGCTTGCCAATTCTTCCGGGGTCGGCGGCAGGGGCGGCAGCCCTTAAATAATCCTATAGATACTCTGCAACAAAATATAGCCCTCACTTCTGTCAGGGGCATGTAGGCGCATGACAATCGGATCCACGCCATTCAGGTCGACTTCTTCTTGGACCTGAATGGCGTGCCATCCATGCCGTGATCTGCCAATTGTGCCAATTATTGGACCATCATGAGAAATTCATGAGATATCATGAGCCAACTGCAAGATACTGCAAGTGCTATTTGTGGTGTTCAAAGATCTTCAAAGCCACAGGCAATCTGCTTTTGAGCGTCGGTTGGCACAGCCTGCAGCATGTGTACCAGAACTTCTTATGCAACAAACTTTACCAATTACATCCAATTACCACACCACATCACACCACACTTTTTCATCTTTGTTCCATTTTGCTCCACCTCCACCTGCTTCTCTTGTTCAGCGATGGTAGTCGCCAAGCGCTCGCGTAGTCGCTGCGAAAGTGGCACACCTGAGCTGTGCGAAGCGGAGTTTAATCGGTCGAGGTAGGCCCCCGGTACACCAAGGTACACCAAAGAATTCAAATACGATGCAGCTTTCACATATTTTCACATCCTCCACGGTCAAGTTGTGATTTGGCCACTGGGCTCTATGCTGGCGCGAGTCAGCTCCTGTTCAGGAATTGCGTCGCTAGTCAAACATCATCCTTTGTGGGATGCGGCCTTATTTTCCCCAAAAGGCTCAAAACAACCCTAAGTTCCGTGACATGTCTGAACATGTTTCGGTAACTCTCCTGTTCTACGTCCTCGGTCTCTAACATTTCTTCCTGGCCGGTGCAAGATGCAGCCATCAGCCTGAACCTTGAGACCAAATGCCAATAGCCGACATGAATGTGGTCAGGCTGTGGGCTCGCAAAATAGCAAGACTATACAAGACTCATCAAGACTCACTATGCAAGATATGCAATGCATATGCAATGCATTGCAAGGCCCGATCCGAAGAAACTTGGCCTGGGCATCCTTCTGCGCTTCTGACGGCTCTGCCTCGTGTCAGCACATGGAACAAAAGAGAATTGCGCAAGTTGTGGCAATGCATGTGGATTGAGATGTCTTGAGACCTAAAATAAAAAATGTGAGCTTTGGAGCAGTCTGGAATGGTCTGATGGTCCGGAAGCCTTGCGAAGCAAGATTTGAAGCATTTTGAAGCCATTAGCAAGCCGAATCGAGCCGATTATGCCGATTTGCTTTAAGATGCTTAGAGCAAAACTGCCAGAGCTTGATGCGAGTGACTTCATGGCGCTGTCTTGAGGCCCCCTGCCATGCGAATTATTCCAGCCGTTGGCTTTCTCGCATGGGGCCTTAGGGGAACTCAAAGTGGAAGGCATTTTAAATTTGATTGGAATCGAAGAAAAACAGCAGTGACATTGCAAAACGCATCACACAAGGTTCCTCGTGCAAACAATCTTGGTAAATCATGGTAAATCCATCACACAGGTCAGGACTTGTGTGGAGCGGCACCTTGGCAAGGAAGTTCTGAAGCGTAGGTTGGATGAGAGGCGGAATGAAATCATTTCTGCAATCCGATTTTACCATATTTTACTATTTTACCATATTTTACCCGAATCCATGAATGGTCCATGAACTATCATGAACTGCAGAAAGCAAATACCCCGCCATGACGTGCAGCATGCAAAATCATGCGAATTTCAATCACAGAAGACGTAGTATCTGAAGATTTCTCCGAGGAACAGAAGCTTTGTGAGGCTACGCACCTTACACGGCCACGTCTGAAAACAAGAAACGCCATGCAGATCATGCAGCTTAAGGAGCTTAATAACCAAATGTATCCGAATGTCAAGACATGTTAGGCTGCTGCCACGAGAAATGTTGAAGGCAAATCGTGCAACAAGACCCCGGCAAGCAAATTAAGGAACAAAGATATAGGCTTTGAATCCTGCACATCTCTGGGATGCGCGTGCATGCACATGTTGTTCGCATTTCGTCATATTTGGCAAACTTCATTATTATGGAGAGCACCCATGTGTACAACGCGCATCAGTGCGCACATGCACCAGAAATCAGCAGCACAAGGACCCAATAAATCTTCATTCCGGGACAAATCATGCAGTCCTCGTCCTGCGGCTTCGCCACGGACCTCATTTTCGGGATGTACAAGTATCAGCTCAGCCGGCGCAGCCTTTCAAATCCTTTCAAGATCTTTAAGATTTAATTGTTGATAAATCTTGTTTTGCACAAATATTGTTCAATGCTCAAGATCCTTCAAGCATCTTTCAAGTATTCGATAGTATTCGTAATATTTCGTAATTATGAATCTCACGCCGCTCCAAACAGACCTATCATGACCTATCTGACTCAATGGGACCGTCCTGTCTTTGTATTGAGGCCTCCTTAAATCTCCTTGAGATCCGGCTGAGGCCTTGAGATCCGCACTGGGGGTGACCGGCATCTCGTCGATCTCGTTGGGCGTTGGGACGGCACGATGATCACGACGCTGCAATGTAAAAAATGTCGTCGAAGTTTGTGCTCCGATTCCTTTCGTAGATTTTCTGATGGTATTCGGAGATACGCTGCAGGAGCTTGACAAGCAGTGATACGGTCGCGAGGAGAAAAATTGAGTCCCTGCTTGTTCCGGCTCATGTCGTTTGGACAGAATGAACTCAAGTGTGACCTACCATGCAAAAGGCTTCTTTTTCCATCCTTGAACCTTTCCCATGTGTAAATCGTCACCCATGTAGATTCCATCATGTCAATGATTAATTGCAGCCATGCACAAGAACGCCACCTAAGCTCGGGAAAAGATTCGACGAGAGCCGTTAAGTCATGTTCAACCCATTTCAACACCAAGTCTTTACTTGAAGCATCTTGAGGCATCTTGAAGCATCTTGAGGCACACGACTCTCTTCCGCTCTTTTTCCTTCAGCTAGCAGTCCTGGACTCCGGCTGAGGCCTTCGAAATACAAGCCTTGGAGCTCGCACCAAGGATCACTAGAATCAGAAGTTCTCAATGTCTTCTATTGTCATCTCCTGGACATGTTTTCTTTCTCCATCGTATATTTCCATATTTCCCACACCCTTGAGTTTGCAGCAGGTTCTCACGGAACCAGGGCAGTTCGCAATATTGTCGAAGTCTCAAATGTGATTTCTCATCCAGCATCAGGCCATGTCCCTGTCGTCGCAAAGTAGCACAAAAACATACAAAAACTATACTTCACAAAAACCTCTGGGCACTGGCAAGGGGACCGTTAGATACAAATGTGACAAACAAATGAAAAAAGTAAGCTGAGGACAAATGATTTGAAGACCATCATCCCACTTCATCAAGCAGCTTTGTATATCATGGATTGTTGATGATTATTGATGATTATTGGATATTATTGGTTGGCATTGGCCTCGAGAAGTTTGATGACATACTCGTGAGGCTGTTCATTGACGTGGCCCAAGCCTCCCGGAGTTGGCTGGGCTGCAGGGATCTTTTCAAACAATTTCACATGGATTTGCCTTGATTCTGAACCGTTTCAATCATATTCAATCATTATAGAATCAACGCCTTCACATGCTTTCAGGTTATGTAGTTCATGTGTGCCTCACGCTCCACTTCCACCACTTCCCCAGGAATTTAGAACAATGACAATGTCACTGCCGCATTGCTGGCATTGCTGGCCTCCTTGCCCTGGTGTTGCTACAGAAAGTATTAAGCCTTTACCTGCTGCAGCTAAAAGGCACTCCACCTTGGCCAGGGCCACACAGGCCACACGGATGCCCGGATGTCACGTGCCAAGTAAAGTCCTTCACACCGTGTGCCAAGATATGCCAAGATGACCCCCATGTGACCACGTGACTCGAATAACTCATATATATATATATTATATATATAACTCATGTGACCCCCACATTCATCTCAGAATCCGAGGCCGGAACGAGTTGTGACTCCAGATGCTTGGGAACATGTTCAAAGACTTCGAGGCAAACGCACCAGTCGTATCCTGGAAAATGATCTCTGGAGCTTGTGTGCAGGCAGCTGCAAAAATGCATCTATCTGCATCTATATATAAAGCTAGCCCGCCAGTCAACAAAAATCGGAGCAAGGATGCAATCATGCCAATGTATTGCTTTCATAGTTGTTAGCTAAAATGGGCAAAACATGTTTCGGGTACTAGCAAGTGAGATCAAGCAATGAGGTTTTGGCTTCCCCTTCGCCTGCTTTTGCGATATTTTGCGGAAGATCGCAATCGGCCTGGCAGTGCTGCTGAATCTGTTGGAAATATTTGGAAATCTGATGAACAAGTCAGACCACGCAGGAATAGCCAGGAATGGGGTATCAATACCTGGGATAAGACTTGTAAGGCTGACAAAGTCAGCATGGTAGCAAAGCCCATCCGTCAAACGCTCGGTCTCGGCATGCCCATCAAACCTTGGTCCCGTCAACTTCCGTATCTTCTGTTCCGCGGAATATTTTTATTTCCACGGCCACGAATGCTGGTGAGGCATTTGAGAAAATAAGGGGCAGCGATGAAATCTGTGACTGTCCTTGAAATCCCACAGTCTCTCTCTCTCTCTCTGTATCTCAACTGTTCGACCAGTTTATGTTTAGCCGCCGGACCCGTGGCATTCCAAACCACGCGCTCGTAGCGCCCTAACGTAGAAACCCAAACCGCATCCCATGTCAATAATTCGGTTCGGTTTCTGATACCTCGGGTTCAATGGAAAAATGCCGTTAAGCAGGCAATCAAAAGCAAGAAACATGTTCGCTGCAAACCCTATGTTTGACCCGCATACAATCTCAATGCCTGCGACGTGTTTTAACTTTCCAAAGCAACAAACCCCAAAACATCCTAAAACCCAGAACCCTTAAAGCCTAAAACCTTAAACCCTGAATCAACATCGCTGCGTATAGCCAGTGTATACCAGTGTTTTCATTCATCCTCTGGTGACAACTACTAGTATACAGTACATACCTTTGTCATTTTATTTATTGTCTGGGTGCATTGTTGAAGGTGGTCGAAAGTAGGGTTTGGCGCGAAAATCTCCTGTCAGTTGTCAACATCTTGAACGGTTTCTTTGTGGCGCATCCTAGCAAGCGATCGCAGAATGTGACTGCAGCCAATTTGCGCAAGGAATGCGGTCAAGGCTTGCTCAAGACCACGGTCGTGATGATGCAGCCTGCAGTGAGGGTAAGATCTGACAAGATCCGTAAACCGTCGTAAGCCGTAAGCCTATAGTGGCCAGCACTTGATGTTGATACCGGGTTCTTTCTCCACCAAGAAACTGAGAACTCCAAGACTTCCAAGCTCCAGTAGAACCCACCAATTCCTCTAGCAGTTCTTCGTCAATGTCATCCCCGGCAGCCACACCGGCCTGGAACATCAGGTGCAGCGTCCCATACACAACGTCTTCCAGAAACTAGACACCATATGACGGCATATGACGGCATCCCTTGGGCCAGTGCCACATGCCAGTACTCATGTCATGTGGTGATCATGTGATGCATTGGCCGGGATTCCACCTCTTGGTCGGGCTGTGCAATCGTCATGGAGCTTGGACAAAGCAACGGGCCACACTGCATCTGAAAGCTGGAATAAGTTGGAAGAATCTTTGCCTTACCTGGACCTCATCTTACCTCCATATCCTCCATAATCATAAACCATTCATAAAAAATCAACCTGTCCAACCGCCTACTGAGTCTACTGTGAACCTTTCGACTCGTCTGGACTCTTGGCTTGATCTGCACTCTGATCTTGAATGGCCACAGGGCTCAGCAAACAGATCCGACTGATCCGGCACAACTTGCGCAGCTCTCTAAGGTCGTTCAGATCTGGAGAGCTCTCTGAGATCTGTTTCTGGAGCTCCGTGCCCTCCGTGCCATTTTTTGCGACTTCAACGACTTCGGCGCTGTACACCTCACCATGGCAACCGTTCATCAACTTCACTCAGGGCCAATGAGCCTCAAAGCCTGCGGGCGCCGTGCGCCGCAAGAAAAATGCCAAACACCAATGCAACACGTTTTCTTCTTCTTCTGATAAGATCCGGCAGATTTTCAAGATCTTTCATCACATTTCAACACTAGAAGGCCTCAAGGATCTAAACTCTAAACATATCTAAACTCTGAGCTGACGTATGAATATATATATATATAGATGCCTTAACGCTGTCCGCAAGTCGTGTCTTGGCACATATGATCCTCCTGCAGCTGAAGCTTTAAACTTTGCACCTCTCCGCAATTCCCTGCCTGCTTGAGTTGTGGCTGCCAAGTCCCCTGCCACAATTTTCGACATGCACCAAGTCTAGCTATATAAATAAACAAATAAATGAATACACACACACACATATATATATATTATATATTACACATTATTACACACACATATATTTTTCTATTTTTTTTGTATTTGTGACATTCTTTAAATCATGGGCACTCCAGTGGTAGCCCCGGGCTCAGGTCCATACTGGTCCATAGGTTAGACATACTGATCATGCTCCACATTCCATCGCGTCCCGATCTGTTGTGAGTTGCAACGCTGCAATGCAACTCACCGCATTCGCATTGACGCCTTGGTCTTGCCCATGAAGTTCTTCTGCATATCGTGAAGGCAACCCAAGACCGGCTCCTGACGACCCAGGCATTCTCGGTTCATCGAAAGGTATCACAACGAGGTACTACAATGCTGATCAATGCTGAATGCTGACTGTCTATATCAATGCAGTATCAATGCCTATATTTCGATTTCAACTGGCTCGAGCGTATCTCAGGCGCATGCTCGCAGGGCAGTGTCTGGCATCTTGCCCACCTCGGACTTCAGAGTATTGATGGTGGATGTCATGTCCAAGCTCTTTCCCAAGAGGAACAGGAGCTCGCAAGAAAGGAAGAACCCAAATAAATTCAATGTCATCCACATCCATCAAGCTGCACCCAAATAAACATTGTACGATATATAGACATATCATATCAAATCAAGAACTATACTATACATGTCTTACGAACATAACATAAAATAACATAAAATAACAACAATCCAGTCCTCATTTGGAAGTATGGTTTGGTGCTCCCTTTGGGGACAGCACGAGCTCCACAAGTTGCTGGCTTAGATCTCGAAATTCTTGGCTGCCACCCTTCCTCAGATCAGACCGGAGCAAGATGGCGCTTCTCTGGCTGCAGGACTCAACCCAGTTGATCGAAGATAATCGAAGTCTATCTATGTCAATCGTGAAAAGCCTGGGTGTGCAGAGACAAAAACACCCAAGTCTGGCCTTACTTAAGCGACAAACATAAAGCCAACATATACCATGGAAAGTCTTCGCGCACAACTAAAGCATCTGGACCTAGCCTGTTGGATTCCACTGCCATCAGCCGTTGCCCGACCTTCAGCAACTTCCAAATTGACAATCTTCAATTCCCTTCACAGATTTCCGCCTCAGATTCGTGTCCTTTCTTTCCTTCCTTATTTCTTCTCTGTCCTTTTTGTCTTCGCCTTGCATTAATCGTGCTCGTCTTGTCATGTCTTGTCATGCGCTCAGTGCTGCGATGTCCACCGCCTTGCGTACTTTGACCGTGAGGTCATCACCGTCATCACCAGGAGGCCTTTCGTAATTCTTTAACAGAACCCTAGGGAAGAAATGCCTAAGAAATGCATAAGAAATTCGAAATCAATCACATAATCACATGGTCTGGCCATATCATGCCATACCTTTCTCACAGACTCATCATATCATACAATGTACCATCATGTGGTTTGCAGGTCAATTGGGTCTCATTTTCACTTGGCATACATGACCATATTCCTGCCATATTGCTGCCATTTCCTGTCTGCCTGGCAGGGATCTCAGAAACCTCTTCGAACTGTGCGAAGGGCTCTTCACTAACACCACAAACATCCAGGACTTCCAACCTCGGACGATTTCTGGCGATCGATGACCATACACCATCCATAACGAATCGATAACGAATCGATCAGGATTTCGGAGGGTTTCGGAAGACTTGAAGCGGAGACCATCTGAGCTCCAAGCATGGACGATTCTGCCGAGTAGAAGGACTCCTCCTGAGATGTCACATGTGGCTGGGCGTATCCACATCAAGCAAAGTCTCTGCTAGTCCAACTCTTGAGATCTCGAATAACTAACAGTAAATTCATTCAAATACCTATGAATATCTATGAATAACATTTGGAATGGCATCGACTGAAAGTTGACCACATGTCAGGCTGACGGCTGACCTCTTCTTGCGCACCGTCCAGGGCAGGAGGTGGCCTGAGACAGAAAGCGTGTCGAGTAAAACACTGTGCATGGCTTCATGCTGCCGCACCCCATTAGCTTTCTTTCCATGTCACTGTCACCAATGTGTGTGTACATATACACATGCAAAGACACACACACATTAATAACAATAGTAAAAATAATTAATAATATACATACATATTTACTATGTATATCTATGTATAATATATATAATATATATATATAATTATATATATGCTTTTCCACTTGCAACCGGGTCTTTCACAGAAAGTGACTGGAGCTTCACAATGCCATCCTTTTGCAGGCATTTGTTTGCTCAGGGCTGCTGGAAGTTAGGATAAAGCCATGCCGATTTGGCGAGACATTTCTGATTCTGAAGATGCTCAGGACTGTTTGGGTTTCAGAGGGTTGAAGAAAAAATGTTTGGCAATATCCTTACATCCTTCCTTTATATTGCCTTAATGTTGACTTTGAGGAGGGGATGACCGATGCCCAAAAAGACTATGTTGGAAGTGTGGGGGGTGAGATCTACCGCCGTGCTGGACATTTGGCATAAACATTACTATCACTTTGTGTTTGGAAAAATTCAAGCACATATTTCAATGTGATGTTGTTGGGTTTATTGCAGCCCTTTATTGCACAGTGTTCTTTACACATCTTTGCACAGCTAAGGCCTCGAAACCTTCTTCAAAAGGTGGAATTCCCGGTTTGGATTCGCAAGTGACTGTTCCTTGTTGGGTTTAGGGGGCGCAGGATATGCAGAGCAGGTTTCCTGAAACAATAGTTTTTGTTACCCAACCCTCCTCTACTCATCTAAGGTTCAGGTACAGATACTCCCTTCATGGCTTTGTCTCATCTATTTGCACCAGCCAAGAAGAAACATCTTTTGAAGCACTTGAGCCTCGCCTGCTACTTGTAACATATTGCCATTTTCATACTGGCTTCAGTTAGGCACAAATCAAAACGAACTAAGCTTTGAATGCCGGCCCAGGACCGCATGTGACATCAACGATGCTGCCCAAAGATTCCTGCAGACCAACTACAAAATGGAGGAGTTTCTTGGTTTAAAAGTTGTTTGGTTGTGAGGGGGTGGTTCCATTTGGTTCCTATGAAGTTGTTTTTCCACTTCTTTCCTTTGAGGTTCCGGGAGGACGTGTTCCGGGGTAGCCTGAAACACTGGGGGTGCAAAGCAACTTGTCTTAACATGATTGATGCGCAGTGTATGGGCCAAACAACTTTCAAGAATGTATGCTAAAGTCTAAGGTAGCAGCCTTTTGCGCGGGATTTCCGTGCCAACCCTATTCGTCACTACATTTTGGATCCCGTCTGATGGAGGAGGCTAATGCAAAGCAGCTGGGTGCCGTTGTTGCCCACTTGAAGCAAACAAAGCCCTGCGATACTTGCTAGCAGTTTGTATCAAATTGCATGCTGTGAGCACATAGTACTTTGATGGAATCCAAGTCATGTGGGGGGGTTTGATTGTTTTTTTGTTTGATGATTTGTATCATGTCCATAATTAGAGGACAAACTCACCGAACTAAGATTGGATTGCTGGAGAATGTATGCGGCATTGTGAGGGTCATGGCTCCTGTTGAGCAACTCTTGACAGAAAACCTGGGCAAGGAGTTCCTGAGCTGATAATATTTGGGGTGAACATGAAGTTCATAGTAGACAAGAGAATGTCACAACAATTAATTAATCTTTCTAGCCCACTTTCCAATCAAGGTACCTGATCGCCTGGCGCTATATGGATCCGTTTCTTGGTTCGATTACCTAACAAGACAACGCAAATAAACGATTTGTGTGTTGCAGCGCTCACCTACAAATGTTCCCACACTATCCCAAACTGAAACCCATGCCTAAGGACTGAATATGGAAGCCCCATAGGACGCAAACGCGTCTACTTCTTCCTTTTGAGAAGAGACCTGATGATTCCCATGGCGCTAGATGACTTTGAAGGTTTTCTTGACGCGAGTTTGGCAAAGATCAAGCACGACCCCACAACCTCATGGAACCTTTCCTTTATCCGTTTTTAATACTGACATTCGGAAGTTATTGGAAGTTATTCAATGGTTGTGCTTTCAAAAGTTAAAGAGTCTTAGGTTCACTTTCCCGCTTCATCCAGTCAGGACTGATCTTTTGCTTCCACGAGACCACCCGCGTGTTGCAGCCGATGTTTCAAAGAGGACCGTCAGGGCCACCAAGATGTTGGCCAAAAAGACACTTACTTAAGCGAGTAGTCAAGGTCATGTTTGTGTACTCCAAAGTCGTTTCTGCAAAAGACCGGTTGCAAGTGGAAAAACATATATTATGTGAACCCACATCTAGCAGTGTGAATCTAAGGAAAAATCTGAAGGGGTTCAAGTGGGTGAAGCGCCATCGTGAATGGTCAAAGAAGAACAAGGTTCCATACCAGCAATTAACCCAGGCCCTGTTTTTTGTTCGTTACTTTCACAGCATAATCATAACCTGAGCTGGTGAATGTGCTCCCAGGTTACCATGTCTTCCGCATGTGGTTCTTTTCGGGAGAAGTACCCATTGGCAGCAGATCAAATTGGATCACAACGTGAGCTTCAGGCCCAACCATCCATCAACTAGCATGTCACTGGAATTCATTGTTTTAGTTGTGTAGTTAAGTTGTCCCGCGTCCTGCGATTTTAAATGTGTGTTTGAATGGCCTACAGGCACTGGACCTGATGACTTGCGCCTTTGGTGGATTCGAAGCAATCAATGTTTCCCAATCCCTTGGGAGGATGCCCTGTCTGAACACCACCGATTCCCGACTAATGTGCCTCACGTTCTTTTCTCAGCTGATTCTGCAATTTCTTCTTTCTGGTTCTACTCTATTGCCAAGCAATCTATTCCATAAAGTCAACATGTCTGAAGTATGCTGAAATGGTTTTACTATTTGTTCAAGCTTGTTGGCCATCCCACTCCCCGTACTGAGGCCTGCCGGACAATATTTGATTGGGGGCGACCACCAACGATTTCTCACAGGCTGCTTGGCACGTACCACAAATTAGAAAGCCTATGCCCATGCCAAATCTCAGCAGGTTCACCACTTCCTTGCGCAGCTCAGGCTTTGAGAGCATGGTTCTGATGGGATGGCCAATGGATGATGTGGACACCAGCAACAACACCGATGAGGAGTATAGCGGGATGTGTATGCAATAGTCTTGCAACTTGATATATAATATAATTTAATGTATTTTTGATTTCTGCAATAGTTGACATTTCAAGCATATCAAGTCAGTACAACACCATACAACTCCCATTCTCAGATTGTTGGGGCGCCCCAATTGCATGCTGCAGGAGCTGAAGAAGCTAGCTGGAAACGGCATGTCTATGCATGTCGTCACTGCGGCTTTGGCAGTGTCCCTGCTGTCAGTGTGCCCCAAAAAGATGGCTAAATATTTGCAATTGTAATTGGTACATAGTTGGTCGACCTAGCTGCAATTGACCAAATTCATGCGGTGGAAGTATGAACTTGCCGCTGCAACATGTGCGAAGAAGTGAAAACAAGTTGTTTCTGCATGCGTGCGCTAGCTTTGCAAAATCATCTTCAATAGAAACATGCACCAACCAAAAGTAAATCTTATCGATCATCGGATTTGCCAAAAGTTTCCGCCTGGCTGTCAAATTCATCCAGGGTTCCAAGGGTAGCCAATTAATTCAATGGTTGCCCCACCTAAGGCGCCTAGTGAATCAGAGCGACATGTTTGTTAAGATATGCCATGTCAAACAGGTTTGTTAAGATATGCCAGGTAAAGTAACCTATATTCATGCAAAAAACATATTTTCAGTTTCGTGTGGTATCGTGTCACCACTGCCCAGCCACGCTTCCCCCGTCGATGCCGATCCTTCATCGGTGGGATGAACATGAAGCAGAAGGATCTGGAGCTGCCTGGCGTTACGATGACAGCAGCTCTGGGCAGGAGTCTGCACATGGGGCGTCAGATTCATCTGAGTGATTTGGCCACACACTTGTTTGGCTAACAACGCTTTTACCTATCTTTTTTCAACATTGTTTGGCAACGTTCAATGTGGGGTTTCCACTTTCACCATTTTTTTTACTGTTCAACAAGTCAGTCAGAAAACACCATAACCAGATCCTCCTACCAATGGATGACCAGTCTTGAATCCAGCCCAGGTATGGTGTTTCCGATGAAACTTCTAGCCTTTCTGATGGAAGTGAATGCGACCTGGATCTTGGAGCATCTCGGGATATCAATTTCACACTCAATCGCCTAGAATCCCTACACAGCCTTTCATTTGGAGAACCGGGTGATGAAGGTCAGTCTCAATTTGCTTCCAACGGGATGTGCAAAAAGCGCATTAAAGAAGCAGTGAAAAACCCTGGGTGCCAGTGCAAGTGCAAAGTACCATTTTCGGTATTAGTCAAGATATGTGTTAGCTTCTGGTCGTTGTGTAAGCAAGCACAAGACGCACTCCTGTGGACGTTTCAATCAGAGGGAAGCCACAGACAAAAGAATTGGCACATTGAAGGTGGGGTTTACCAAACTGTTCCAAACATAGTTTCCTTTTTGGTTCCAGGGCAACCACAGGTTATATCAAATACTATTGTCTTCCCTTAGACAGGCTACCGTGTTTGCCGAGAAAGTTGGATCAAATTTATGGGGATCGGTAAGCAGCGTCTGTGCCGCACCAAAAGAGCTTACAGAGGAGTGGACGAAAGGACTTTGAGAACAGGACCCTTTCCTTATGCTTCCAAAAGTCACGCTTTAGCTTTTGATTTGTAAAAACCACCCAAAGACCAAGTGGTTGTTATAGATCCATTCTAGCCACGGGCCAACCAAAAATTGACTAAGGACACTGCGGACGACCAGCTACAAAAAGCAGTAGTGTTCAGAACTTCTTCATCAATCTGTACTGGACGGCAGGAGAAAGCATGACGACCATGATACATGTCTATGACATTTTCTGAACATACTCAGTGTTTCTGAAATTTCCATGGCCCATCTTCTGATTTAGTCAACTTTTACCACCCTTAAACCCTTAAACTATCACAGCCACTGAGGATTGCTTCACCTGAGACTCTGAAGAAAAGCGATGAGGAGCTTCGGAGACAGCTACTTGATCAGTTAATTGAGGCGAAGTTGATGGGAAGCCCAAAGCAAATCTTACAAGGGGCCGACCCAAGCAAACTACCCATGAGGGAGCTTCCCCACGGGACTGTAGCGGGTCTCTACTTGCAATACTGTGCGTACTGTCGTTCCTGTGATGAACCTGCAGCTAGCAAGACTGTTTTCTTTGAGAAAGCACGAGAGTGGCACCAGTGCTTACGCTTCCACCGCAAGACAGTACACGCAGTGTGCGCAGTGTGCTCTGAACTTCGTGCCAAGATTCGGAAAGCAACAGATACTTGTATAATCTATGCGTGTTTTATCATATTTTGGGAAAGGCCCTTTTTCTGGTGTGATATTTGATATTTGCTATAATATGTTTGTTGCTTCGGGTGTTCTGCAGCCCGTTAGGATTTCACTCTTCACTGCACTTTGGCTGATCAATTGCTCTTTCACTTCCAGCAGCAGTACAAAGACAGACAAACATACTACATCGCTAGAGAGAGAGAGCACGATGTCAGCGAGATCTCATAACAATGGCTGTGGACAGCTACGACAAAGCAAAAATCTTGCTACCACGATTTCCTCATGGGGGAAGAGTTCCCAAAAAGCGGGCTTATGAAAAAGCCAGAAGAGTTTTGGTGAAACCATAGTCAGGTTTATGTTATATGCGGGACCCGAAACTTTTAACTGTTAATCAACAAATCGAGTTTCAGAACCCCTTGTTTTGAGACATTCCCTTACTTATGTTTATCTTTGTGCAGGTTTCTGTTATATATTGGCGGGCCCATATTCATCTATCCCGTCCCAACGGCGCCTCCTCGCAGGAACGCACTTGACATTGACCTGCGTGTTGACGCACGGGCATGGATGCTGGATGTATTTGGGATGGGAAGGGATGCCAACTGGAGCAAACTGGACCTGGGAACTTGCCACTTACTTCAACAACTAACATTTGTAAAATGTATGTCTTTGGGATCTTTGGGGACATTTGGCTCTTCAAGGTAAATCTGTCAACTTCCAACATCTAGGTGATGAGATCTTTGGAGAAGGTGTGGAAAGGCTGCAGGGCAAGGTCTGAATCCATGCCATACGAGATACCCAGCGAAAGATCCAGTAACTTTTGTCTAGGTTTTATTTGGCTTTGACCAAACAGGGAACCACTATTGACTTTGTAACCACTAAGACTTACTTTTACTTATTTGTACGATTCCATGGGGTGATGACCCAAAAATGTGACGCCTCAAATCAAACCAGATACAGTGGTTTTTTGCCCAGAAGCTGCACCCATATCCAAGGTTATGGATTCAGGGAGATAATACCCCTAAAGAAGTGCGAAACCAAACAAGCGCAGCTATGTGCTCAGCACTGCCAATCAGGCATATTCCAGGTATGCTCCCACATGCATCTTAATGTTGGTCATACTCATGAAGACATTGATGGATGCCTGTCACTTGTGACCACAGCCTTGGGAGCAGCAACCACTTTAGAAACACCAGCTGATGTTGCCAGAGTGATCCAAGCAAAGTTGGAACCTCTTTTTGCTCGTCACCGCATGGAGTTTGGGATCGAGATGGTGGATTGTGCCGACGGGCTACAAATAAATAAAAGAAAGTGTTAGTAGTTACCCTCTATGGTATCAATAGGGATTCCCTGATTGGTCAATGTTAATAAACATGTTTTTATAATGATAATGAACTGCAATGGATCTAAGGTACGGAAGTGGACTGACATTCTGCCCAACCGAGTCAGTTTCAAGAATGCCTACTTGGATCGTCCAGACAAACGGAATCCCAATGGCTTGAAAGTGCCCCAGGCATTCACCTTTCTACCACGCACCCATCTTCCCAGGGATGCGCCCAAAGAGGAAAGGGTCCCAGTGGCTATGAGATCAGGGGATGAGAAGGCTGACCTTGACATCTTTGCCCTGATCAAAATGAACATGAGCGATTCAATGTTGTGCCAAACACCGCTACTAGTTTACCCAGGGAGCCTCATTGAAGATGTCGAGCGCTTCCTCAACGAAGTCAACCGCACCAACAAGACGCAGGTTGCAGAGCTGGAGTCTGAGCGCGCGCAAGATCTCCGGGACATGGCAGATGCCATCCAAATGGACTACCCCCACATGTCGAGGGCAGTTAGTTTCTACCGCCAAATGTTGAACCCCACCAGCTTGCCGGGGTATACCAAGCTTGACTTTTTGACTGGGGCTGGTGCATCATCTACACGTTGGTGCCAAATCAATCTGGGGGAAAGGCCCTTGCCACCGAAACCCCATGAGTTACAAGTGGTGTTTCATAGGGCTAGGGGCTGATAGTGCGAAAATCGCCGTTTGGGGATCATTGGAAAAATAGCTGGCCGATACTTGCATTGAAATCAACATCCATTAGCACATGGACCACATGGGATTTTGTGCGGCAAATGCTGCCATCATTTTGCGAACGGTGTTGTGATGACATCGTGAATTCTGTAAGCAGTGTTACAGGGTCAGAAAATTCAAAGTTGTTTTTGGGGCGCGCCTTGAACGCCAACATGGAATCCGGCGCTGACAACATGGACAATCTCAGCCCTGCCATTTCTGAGATCTTGACTTACTTCGATACAGTTGCTCAATCTTGGTCATAAAATTGTTTTTCCACATTCTCTTGATGATCCCCTAACCTGAACCTTGTAATTTACAGCCAAATCAAGGCCCAGCATGTTCAACTACATCCCTTTAATGAAATCAACTTATAACTGTACTGGGTACTTTTGGGGGTTGGCTCCATGTTCCCAAAGGTCGAAACACTGTATGCGCCTTAAGGTTGTGAGCAAGAAGAACCTGGGCGAGCACATCAACGAGGTCATGGCCGACAGGAGATTGATGAAAGTGGTAACTGGCCAAAACTTAGCTATACCATGTTATACCATGTAGTTACTATGCTCACCATCCTGAATCTTACACAAAAAAACATGTCTCTCCTCCACACCACCCACAGTTATTACTGTAAATATGATATTATATGTTTCTTGGTGACATGAAGTGCCCCTTGATATCTTGCTGGCCCCCTTAGGCGATGAGGAAATTCATTCCGGACCCTTTTTTGACGACTCAGCCCAACAAGATTCCCATCACACTTGCACCTAGAGCGTCTATGGATGAATTCTATCTCCCGCTTTTCGCTTTCGACTACAGCCGGGATGCGAAGAATGGATGTCGGGGTTTGAGAAAATGTATTTTTAAACAAATAATAAGATGTGGTTTACATCCAAACCTAATTAGCTGGGCATCCCAAGATGATTTTAGCCAAGCACATTGTTGTGATCCTGCCCTGTTTTAATCCAACCCTATAATTGGCTGGGCATCCCGATTTTTTAAAAGCCAAACACAGAGTTGTGATCCTGCCCTGCAGTTTTTCCATCCAATGTCCAGTTCAAAACATTCTTCAAAGAATTCCTCATCCACGGGTACCGGGTCTCAGCAGAAGCGATTGATGTCAAATTTACATTGACGGATTCAACCCGTTGTCTGAATGACTTTTCGGTCTGATTCGTTGACGGATTCACCAAAGTCTTGCTCATGATGAGTATTCTTTGTTTCGTGGAAGAACTCGAATTTACTGAAGACAAGTTGAAGGACCCTACCCTGCAAGCCACTTTGGCATCATTTCAGCTTGTGCGGTGTTCCTACACTCACTACGACAACCCCGGGTACTACTTTTTGAATTCTTTGAGAAACCAAGCTGAATTATGTTGAGTAACTGTTTCTATGATACCATTAACAGCATGTTTTTTTTGGGTGTTCAGGTTCAGATTTATGGTTTCCACTTTCCACGTCTTTCATCTAAGAAATTGGCTTCACTACATCGGAGAAACAGTCTCCTTCTCCGGTGACTCTGGTCTCGGACTTTCGGAATGCCATTGAACAGGAACGCAAAGTTTCAAAGACCAAGCTGGCACTACGGGATTTATTGGCAAAGACAGTTGCCAACTACAACAAGCTTTGCACCAACAAGTCTCACAGAGTCACAAACCAACGCAGGAATCTGGTTTACAACTTGTTTCTAGCCTATGCAAACAGCAATTTGTAGGTTGATGATTTCTGGGTGTCCATCCCAAAATTACAAACGAATAACAAAAAACCATGCTTGGCATATTGTATGGCAGCCATATCCGTGACCAATCTGAGGCTGCGGGCCCCTGCAAAAGTGCTGGAGACGCTCCACGAGCACTATGACCTTTACAAGCACGAAGTCAGCGGTGGCTTGGATGCATTTTAAATGTCTTCCCGAGAGGTGGTTGTTATTCTCCAAGTCTTTGGTGGCCCCGGGTGGTCCTAAAGGTGGTAAGACTTTTCACTTATCAACCTTGAGTGTCCCAAAATGTTGAACTTAGATCAGATCATTTGGTTTGAAAGTAACACTTTCTGTGTTGTGAGGTGTTCCCCACGACATCCTGACCATGGACTTTTGGGTTCCAACTGTTCAGAGCCGCATGGAAGCCGCCAAGTACAAGGGAAAGGATGTATTTGCAGAGATCCTGTCAACTACTGATGCTTCTTGCAACCTATACTTTGAACGTGCAACTCAGGACTGATAAACACATGGTGCGTAAACAAGAATATCTTTCGATGTGCTGATGGAAGTGTTGAAGACAGTAGCTGTCTAGATATTAATCAACCACATTCAAAATTCACACATAGCAGTTTGAGGTGAAGATTATATCCTGGCTTGCAGGACTTCTGCAAGAAAGTTTCCCCAAAGGCCGAGAAGAAAGCCAAGGCATGTGACAGTCAAAATTCACAACTTTACCGAAAAATGCTTTTACTTGAATTACATACCCAGAACAACCCTTCAACAGGCTTAAAGTTATGATTCTGTCTCCCAAATATGTTGTCCCGCAGCGCACCCCTGGCTGAGAAACTGGCACAGATGGACGAGGATGCTCACATCCTTCTCCACGACATCACCTGCTGCTGGCTGTGGCTTAGGGAGCGTCTCCAGCGTGCATTTCCGAATCATGTAGTCGATCGTTATGACGAGCTCTTCTCAAAGGGGTTGCTTGATTGTGATCATGAATTTCACTTCCAAATCCCATCCACCAGCAGCTTTTCATCTGAGATATGGCATGTGCAGGCGTGAATCCACATCAGGCGGCTGACATTCAAAAAGCCATGCGCTGACATTCACCCCAAGGCACCCTCAAGGGGAGGGATTAAAAGAAAGGGGTAGGGAGAACTTGAGAGGTAGCATTGCATGAACGGCGAATTCACATGTCAGTGAAAATCGTTCAAGAACTTAAATCACTTCCAAATCCCATCCACCAGCAGCTTTTCATCTGAGATATGGCATGTGCAGGCGTGAATCCACATCAGGCGGCTGACATTCAAAAAGCCATGCGCTGACATTCACCCCGATGCCTTGGATCTCATATTCAATTACTGGTGAAGCCGTAGGGAAAGAAAGAAAAAATCTAAGTTTAGTTGCCAAACCGCTGTCGTAAAGTTAAAGAGTGCATATTATCTGCGGCATGCAACATGGCTGACCCGGCGGCAAATGAAAACTTGGCGGGATAGGGTTGAGCAAGATGGGTCCAGAACAGCTTAGAAACAGGATCCAGCCCCCGAAGAACAATATGATATCTACCAGTACTACAACATATCCCACCATGTCCACTGCACTGCCGGTGAAAAGAGGGAACATCAGGAGAGTGCCATGCTTGAATCCTTGTTCTCTTACGCCAACGCGCTCCGTGCTGACAAAAATCAGTAATGAACTTCTGACTGCAAGACAGACCCCCAAGCCGAACAAGTTTGGGGAGTTTCCAAAGCATCGAGCTACTGGGGTTTTCGAGAAAACAAGGAACATGACACAATGTGCATAACCGAATGATTTCAATTGTGAAAGAGGCAGTAGCATTACCAACACGGACCTTGTCACGATCTTTAGGGGGTAAACCAGGTAACCCAAAAAGATGTTTATTGTCACGCAGCGGCCCCCAAGAACTGCCAACTGGTCCATGTCTTGCACGACTCCAAGTGGTGCAAGGTGTGGCAAGCCAAACGCCTATGATGCATCGGCTACGCAGCCAGCCAAAAATGAGCTTCTGTACCTCTGGATCGCGCAAATCGAATTTAGGATTGTTGCAAACATCAATTGAAATAACAGCATAACCCTGCCTACGCAGATACTTACCAACACCACCATCACCAGAAAACAAATCAAGAAAAACAAACCTCTTGCGATGCTTGGCATTGCGGACGGCTTGCTTAAAAAGATGCTGCAACAACTCACGTCCAGATTTTTGTTTGGCTTCAGATTTGGCAAACTCTACCGAACAAGCAGCTGCTTTCTTTTGCAGCCGCCTGGTGACTTTTGGCATGCTGACGGGTTCTCCACACTTGACATTCCCTGACTTAAAAGAGTTGGGAGGCGCTTCAGAATGTCTTGTCCTCTTTCGATCAAGGCAGCCGGCATCTTTGACTGCTCGCATTGAAGGCGAGCAAGCTTCACATACCTCTTCAGTGAATTGTCGGAGGCCCAGCGCCCCCTTTGTTTCACCTCCAGCATTGTTCGACGCCTGGTGACAATGTCGTGTGTGGCTCCTCCATGTCGAAGAGTGTAAAGGCAGCTTCCCAATCCCTGTAGTCCTAGCATCTCTGTCACCTTGCGGTACTCGGCCACCAAGACTTGATGAGGGTCGGGCCACAGATTGTCGTTGGCCTGCTTGTTGTGAATGAGACCTGTGAGGAAAGGGCTGATCCAGGGGTCGGAGTCGATCACTACTGTTGCATCGAACACCCCAGTTTTGCCTGGGACCGCATCCTCCATCGGGGACAGCAAAATGGCCCAGCTTTGGAACCGTCCTCCTCCTCCTGGCTGGGGAGGCACCAACTGCTTCACTTTCAAAGTAGAGCATTCCCCCGGACGAAGATACGTCAGGAACTGCACAAAGAGCCTCAGTGCGAGCTCTGGCTTGCCCTTGGCAATCAACTCCATCAAGATGACGCCCAGCGCCTCGATTGGCAGCGGAAGTCGCTGCTGCGGCGGTGCGGCCGCCATCCACCCCTTCAGGGCCCTCACACTTCGAGGTAGTGTTCCCGAAGCAGGTCTTCCGAGATGCGGGTAGAAGAACCGAAGTGCGGCATGAGTCCTCACGCCGGTGTCGATTCCCTCCCCCTTCTCGAACATCTCGTTCATGAACTCCACCAAGCACCAATCTAGTTCCACCTCGTTGACTGCAGTCGCTCCTATCTGACTCATCCATGTGGTGAACTTCTGCAGTCGTTTCTGGTAGTCCTTGATGGTTGGTGGCCTCACACTTCGGGTTTCTAAGTAGGTCAACATTGGCGGCACATCGGTCGCCTCCTTCACCCTCAATCTTCGAAGCAGATTCTTTCGATGATTGCCACTGCAAGTCACGGCCAAATCCATGTGATTTGGTCCTGGGGTGGTCCTCTTTTTCGAAGTCATGCCACCACCGGTCCCAACCTAAAGCTTTCCAGGCAGAAACCGCTCTCGATGGCTCATCCGCAACATTTAACTCCGAGGCAACCCATCTTACTGAAACCCTTGAACCAGTAGCCAAACAAAGTCCAGCAATTTTCCGGAGAGGTTTGATAAGATGGCCAGACTTAGCCCTACCCTTGACACAACCAAGCACCAGAGGGAGGTTATCACTAAAGCAAAGGAGTCGCTTGTTGATAGATCGATTGGCTCGAAGAAGATGTTCGACAGACCATGCAAGACCACGTGCTTCAGTGTTGAGTATGTTGGCTTGAAACTTCCATGGACGTGACCAAACTACTGACCAATCTTCACGCTTCATGATGGATTCAGGAACCTCGTTGAAACCGTTGTTGATAATAAAAGTGCTAAAAGAATACCCATAACCAGAACTATCTTTTGCACCACCGTCGTCGTTTCCGGCTTCTGTCGAGGCTGCCTCACCCAATGCATGTTTGCGAGCATGAGCAGCGTCTTCAAACTTGTATCGCCATCTTTCACTGACCCTGCCAAACTCTTGAACAGTTTTAACATCAAGCTTACGAGAACAAATACCTACCCCCCAAGGTGATGAGTCTGACGCCATGACATCCGTACCCCAACCACAATTCAACTTCATCCGAAAGAGTGGCAGAAGTGAAGATATCCAGTTCAGCTCTTTACGCACTGAGGGCCACAGTCTAACGCTATCATCCATGTGCTTATGACAAAAACTGTATGAGTGTTGCAAAAGTGAAAGTCCTTCTCTTCTGGTCATCATGGCCCATGTGCAATGCCCTAATACCAGCTGCAAAGTTCGGCCGCTGCAAAACTGTCTGCGAAGGAGGTCATCGATACCAGCTTTAATCTTGATAAGCCTAGAAGGTTTGATAGACAAATAGCCAGTCTCACCATTGAAGTGCATACCAATGAAATCAGCTTTCAGTGATGCCTCCTCCTCTTCATGTACAGTCAAGCCCCAATCTCTCAGTGTCTTGCTGATCTTCCTGAGGCCTGAGTCAACGTGCTCTTTACTGCAGCCAAATACTCCAAAGTTGTCAACATAACCAGCAACTGCAATACTAGTAGGCCCATCGACATGTACTGGTAAACGCTTATCACCGATGATGCAATGGTCAGGGATCCCAGCACAATGGATTCCATGCATAAGTACCATCTGGCATAGATGAAGCGCCCACGACCATCCCATAGGAAGCACCGTCAAGTATGGTAAAACCTGAGTGCCGGGCGGGATGGAGCATCCATTGATGGTTGAAATGCCAAGGGTTCCAGCCTGAGCCGTTGGCAATGTAAACAACTCACCCAGTTTGGAAGGAACTTGCAATGTATAAAATGCGTTTGAAAGGTCACCTGAACCAATGAAGAATTGTGAATCTTCTGGAAGCTCAAGTCGTGTGAATGAATCTGCTGAAGGTAAATCTGTGGATGGTGGGTCAATAAATGCTTGATTGAGCAGTCTAGTGTCGAAGATGAGCCTCAACTGTCCGCTCTTCTTAGCAACAAAAAACACACCAAGTTTACCCTTCTCACCGTTCGCAACCCGAAATTTGATCATGTTCCTCTTTGAAAGCTCTTGTAAAAAATTGCAATACTCCTTGGGATTGTTCTTCAATATTGGGTCAATGTATGGCACGATGTTCTCATCAGAAACCTGATTGTCAGTTCTCAGCATATGCGACTGCCAAGTGCCTAGCCATTTGCTGTCGGCGGCAGACAGACATCTCTCCAGCGGAACCGGAGCGGTGGCAGCCTGCGGCCAAGAGATATTCTCTCGGGCATAGGGCTTGACGTCCGTGCGGACCGATCCATACAGACGAAATGATGAACAAAGATCCTCCAAACCCCCACTTTCGAGAAGCGGCTGCTGTCCAGAAAAAGTGTCATGGTAAGCGGAGGATATCTGAGAAAGAACCCGGCGTTGCGCACGAGTAGACTTCTTGTTTTTGTCAAAACTTGAATTAACACCTTCAGAAATTTCATTGAGGGTGCGAATCCCCTGATTGGCTAAGTCTTTCCAAAAAGTTTCAGAATGTGGCCCGCCTTCATCATGGGGCAGCTCAGGCAGGGGGAAGATGTTACGCTGTCGACAATCTTCAGCTACTCCACCATGCACAGGCTGAATGCATGCGAAAATTGAAAAAGTCAGGATCCACAATGGCCATCCTCCCAGCAAACCAGGAGAGAAGCCACAAGGTCCAGTCATTTTTGAGCCTCTGCCTTGCCCTCGTTTTTGCGAGATAGAGCTCGTTCTTCTCTCGCCTTTCGGCGCTCCTTCGACACCAAGGCCTCCTTTTGCATCTCGTTCCCAATCCACTCTGTAAGCTTCGGATCGATGATCAATCCTGACCTCGATCCACCGCTGGTGCCCATGAACAATGAGCCCTCCCCCGCATCCTCGTTTGAAGCAATCTTGTGTTTGTGTTTCTCCTCCAGCCTTTGGATAGCTCTCACCACCAGCTCGGCACTCGCCAAGTTCGTAGTGTCCAACTGGTCGTAGACAATCATGGCCTCGAGAACACGGCACCAAGAATCGTGCTCCATGGCGGGGCCATCTGTCGGTTGCATCCGACATGCCACGCGCCATGCTTGAGAATGACCGGAGGGAGAACCTCCGTGATTCACCATCTGAGTGATCACATGCTTCACTGTTCTGGGGCCATTGATCGGCCAATCTGCAAAGGTGACCATTCGGCTTTCCTGCACAGCAACCCGATAGTCCTTGAAGCGAACTCCATCTCCGTCTCGCGAGATGCTCAAGGTCCTCGCATCTTCTGCATCTCCGCCCCCTCCACCAGGCACCAAGGTGAGCCCTTGCAATGCACCTTGGGGGGCGGCGCCAGCGGGAGCTGCTGGTGCTGCAGCAGCTGGTGCTGCACCTCCGCCACCTCCCAACGCAGCTGGGGCCGGATTGGCGGCTCCTCCGGCCAATGGGGCCACGAGAGCACCTCCAGCAGGAGCCCCTCCCCCTACAGCAGCCGGGGCTGCAGCTGGGTTTGGAGCCACAGGAGCTGGGATTCCTCGCCGCAACCTTTCGTGAGATGCATGTACCAATCCTTCGTTGATCAGGTTTGGAATGGCGGCTTGACCAGGGCGATGAGTGAAGTCGTGCACATGGTTGGGATCTATTCCATAGGGCACTCCAACATTTGGGTCGAAGGCTCTCCATCCATAAATGTCCAGGTTGTCGGGTGACAGATCTTCGGCATAGATGTCCCCCTGTGGGGTGAGAATGATCCACTCCCCGTCGGTGACATGGGCTAAGAGAAGTCTTGAGTGCCATGTTGGGTCCCCGGGGATATCGTATTTCACCAAGACGAAGTTACCCGGAGCCTGGGCGCCAGCTAACTGCGGACCCAAGTGAGCCCCTGCGGCCATCCAAGGCCAGCGACTTGTTCCTTACCTCAGGCTCCCTAACCTGACCCAGCTGATTAAAAAACCAAATGGATATGTAGAGAACACTCAGCAATAGACCAAGACCCAGCACCGTGGTCAGTGACAGCTCAATGCTGCCAGTGGTGCACGTGACTGCAGGGCACGACAAGTTCACAAGGCAGTCAGGACAATGGCACTTCAGTTGCCCACTGCTCCACCAAGTCCCAATGAGGAACCCGCCAATCAGGCAACCGACATGCGAGGCAACTAGACTAGATCCAGACATTAGAACTTGAGAGGTAGCATTGCATGAACGGCGAATTCACATGTCAGTGAAAATCGTTCAAGAACTTAAATGAATTCTAGAATCCTGAACCCGTCACACACTAGCCAAATGTTAGCAACTTTTTGGCTTAGCCACAGGCTTTGCCAAAATTGTTGACGATTTTGGCAAGCACTTCATGGGGTTTCCGAAAACCCCGTCACACCTCAGCCGAAAAGTGTAGATTTTTTGGCAAAGGGAAAAATAAACTAAAAATCAATCAGAGTCCGACTTTCAGGGGCATGTCTGATTTGTGATGTGGTTTCCAGAAACCACATCGCAAATCCTAGGATATCGAGGTACGACGTCACACTTGCTTTCCAATCAAAAAATTCAGGGCATGATTGAATCCCCCTCAGAATCAAAATTGTGATGGGGTTTCTGGAAACCACGTCGCATTTAGCTGTAACTTGTGCAAACCGAAATCTTGATTGGTTTTCCGATATTTTTGTTTTTTTTTCACTTTTCAATATTTTTCATTTTTTCCGAATCACTTAAAAACTTGGGCCCAAGGTCATTGGACCAAGACATCGGGAATGTGATGCGGGCTGCGGATGAAAGCTTTGACTGGAATCGCATCAGCTTCGTGTTGGAGGCATGGACCCAGGAACTGTTTTGTTTCCCAAGAAAGCCCCCCACCAATGAAAAGTGGTAAAAAGGAACTACGAGTATAGGGTTTCTTTTTGCCCCTTTTTAACTATCTTGGCAAGGGTTTCCAACTTTCAACATGGACTTTTAAGGCTGAGGAGCTAAAACCTTTGAAGACATTTACATATCTAATACATCTGCCAAGAGAGAAACTATAGGAAAATACAAATAATGATAGATCAGTGTTTTCAACTTATCCTTGCAATCGAAGGTTATCAGATTCCTAACCCTGATGCTCAAAAAAATCATCACACCGGAAAGGAACTGCAGTTGATTTTAACTTTCCATCAACATTTAGTTTTATAAACGCTGTATACAAACCTGCCTTCCTGGCCTTCCTTGTTTAAAACTTGCACGCCGCAGATCCGGGGTAAGACCATCGACACGTTCGTGGCAGAGAGCCAGGACCGGCAGAAAAACGCGCTTCACAAGAGCAATGAGGCAGCCTACCTTGCCTTCGAAGAACAGCTTCGAGGGGATCAAGCTTTGTTTGACAGCGAAGTTATCACGTAGCTCGCTAAATGCCAATCATTTTTTATGGGTGACAATTTTGAAAGGTTTTGTCTTGACTTTACCACCGTGCTGGCCACTTTCAAACAACTCTATGGTTTTTGGATGATTGTTTGAGCGTTCTTACTTCTTAAAACCTTTTCCTTGGGTCCAACACGCTAATGGACACTTGTTGACAAAGCCCAAAAAAATGGAAAAAATGCACTTTTGTGGGGGGTTTGCCCACTGCCTATTCCCCAAACCTGCATCTTGGGTCCACTGCCCAGGTCAGAGCGGGAAGCGGCAAAGCAAAGAGCAAAGCTTGTGAAGACTTTGGAGGAGATCCGGGGCCACACATGACCACACCGTCTTCTTCCAACATTGTTTAGAATTCGTTGCAACTGTAACATCTAGAAGAATTCACAGAAATCAAATCTTAGAACATTGGATCACTTCAAGATTGGTGGCACCCTCCCACATAGTTTTCACACCTTAACATGGGAACAGCACATTATGTTGCTTCAGGACTGTCACGAACGAGCGTGGAATTGTGTGCGCACTTGGATGGACTCCCACATGTACATTGTATCTGGCCGCGCCTCTGATGCAGAGAGCACCGTTTTGCCAGCTATCGCTGGTTGGATTGATCGAACCTTGGAAGATTGCTGTGCGTCTGGGGGCAACTATTCGGTGGTGATTCTATTGAATTGCCCAACCGTGGGAATTCTAGGCACTGAAAAAAAGGATTTTTTTGTCACGGCTGTGACAAATTTGCTGAATCAGTACCGCCGAAATGCAGTGGCTTTGCTGGTGTTGCCCAACCGAGCCGGACAAACCACCAGGACAGTTTTTTTTTTGCATATTATATATGATCAATTTTGGGGACATATTATACACAGTGAATTTGGGGGAACATAAGAAATCATAACAATTGACAACACTTGCTACATCAAACCCTGTGCGCTCTTATCATTTAAGCTTAGGCAGGAATAATATATTACGATGAAAACATGAAAAAAACAACGCACCCAACCCCTTGATCTTTAAGAAAGCATCACCCAACCAGCTTAAAGTTATTATTGCTTATGGCTGGTCTATTTACCATGCAGTAAGTTTGGGATTTCTATTGCCCAACGTCCTTCACACATGACAGTCCGACCTGCTCCACATGCTTGTGAAGACTGGGCTGCCACCTGCCACGCAGGACCAAAAGCAAGACTGAAGCAGACTCGGACCAGGAGATGGAGAAACAAGAGCCAGACGCCGTGAAGAAGGATGAGGGGTCGGATTCGGAACATGAACCGGTGCAGGGGGAAGAGGCAGACCTACGAGATGTGAGATATATCTTGGAGAAACTTGGGATTTATTCCTGCTGTTTAAATGTTTGTTATTTCAACTAGATTTGGGTAAGATTTAGGTCGACATGTTTGAGATCCTATTAGTGGTACCTTTGCTTTAGGATGATCATCACCCTTTGGAACGACCTGTCTCCAGCCCCCTAGGAAGGCATTCACTCTCAAGGAGAGAAACCTCAAGGTCAAAGACTTCACATGGGTCTTTGACCCTGCAGCATGTCCAAAAGAACATTTTTTCGGTTTCTCATCCTTTCACCATGTATAGTGGGGACTACTGGTCAAAAATGATCAACATTCACGGAGTGACTGTAGTTGACCTTCAATAATGTGTAGCAAAATGACACCGGATTGTTATTGATGCTTTTTTTACATGCCCACACATCCGATTCAACGCCTTGCCTCAGGCGAGCACTTATGGAAAACGCAGCGGCTGCCTCCCGGGGCTCATCATCATGTGCAAGGACAAGCTGAACATCATGAAGGAGAGCAAGGCATGGAAACAACAGGTGGTGTCCCAGGTGCAAATGCTGAGCAGGGCCAACATGTTCAAACCCGATGTTCCTTAGTTCTGTAATAGGTTCTGACTTCTTTTACATGCCTTCTACTTTGAAAACAGGTTTGGCCGGGCCATTATCCAACCTCCAATTGCTGTTCCATGCCATGCCCCTCATGAACTAAGGCTTCACCAAGCAGGGGCGATTTGCCCCATTTGGGGCGCGCGTTTACAGATGTGCAAGAGGCCAAGCAGGTGCTTTGGGATTTGTTTGGTCTACTTTTGGAAACCGCTTCTATGCACTTCTATGAGACATTTTAGTCGGCTACCAAGGGATCTTTTTTCCGGAGGAAAAGTTTGGGGGGCTGCTCATAAAAACTAGTTAGTCGGGATTATATAGATGTTATTTTGTTTTTTTTCAGCAAGCAACCATTAGTTTTCTCAGGTTGCAGGGGGACTTGACCTTGTCCAGAAAACTATCGAAGTGGCCAGCGTCCCCTCAGTGGAGACTACTGTTCTCGTCGACCTCCATACTTACGACAGCTGGCCGGCATTAGCAGCCCTTCAGGCTTGATATGACCTTTTCAGAATGGCTAAAACTTAGTGTTGTCAAACCACAGCCATTGGCCAATAATTTGGAAAAAACAACATCTTCCCTTGCAGGAAATCAGCGATGGCAAAAATGTCTATTGTGGCAATGTGCTTTTGGGAACTCCACCAGACGCAATTGTGACCCGCATAGCAAATGAAGTGTACTCAGCAGCCCGTTCGGGGAAGTTGACCATTGCCGGCTTCCCAGATTTCTCCCCGACCATCACCGCATTGGCAGCAAACGCAAGGGCAGCAAGTTCCAGGGTTGACTACAAGGTCACACTGAACAAGGGGGGGAAGTTGATGGTTCTCGAGGCGTTTGCCTCCAAGTTTGTGGAATGTGAGCAAACGAAGGAACGAGCAGAGGCCTTGATAGCATCTCACAATGCACGCTACAACAAAGACGGAGAGTTTTGGGTCAGGAGGGGGTTTATCTTCCACTTAAGGGGTCTCTGTTTTAACTTCTGCCTAAAACTTGACAGGATGGTTTAGATCCCAAGAACACCCACTTTTAGTGATGTTTTTTTGGCAAACAAGTTTTGGGCCATAACCCAAGGGTACTCAAAAACATTGAATAGACATTCAATATTTCAAAAACCATTGTATTTTTTGGTTGGGCACTCATTAAACCTTTAAGTTATACACCGCTGGATTGCACATTTCCTGGGGATATCCCGCTCCATTTTGTCCCCACATTTTGCTAGGACTGAACCTGAGACAGCTGACAGTGTGCAAGAACGCCCATCCAAACGAATCAAGCTGGACTCATCTCAAAAGGTGACAATGGATGATGCTTCAAAGGTTCCTGAGCCGTCCCCAAGCTGAACAGAAAGATTAGCATGTACTTATTATATTCTATCCCCCTATAAATTACACAGTCCTATGGTATACTGGAATGTCTCAAAATAGAGGGATCCCGAAACTTTTAAATTTTATTTAACAAATAAAGTTTTGGGATCCTCTATTTTGAGACATTCCCTTATCTGTAAATAGAAAAGAGCTCCTATCATTAACCACCCTTTCAATTCTTGGGTACCTACTTCATGCCCAAGGCAGAAGTTGAACATCAACAAGTGCGCAGATCTCATCACCAACGGTGCGGGCGACACCTTGCTTCTGGTTTCGCGCTCCTCCAACCAGTTCCTGCAAAACAAGGAGATGTGCTCCCCTCAGGTTCCGAATACTGGGGGGTGATTGAAATTAGATGCTTTGGCAAGGGTTCATGGCCCCACCAGTACCACCGCATAAATGTTTTCTTTTCTCCAAACTGAGGTGGTCATACGGATCAGGAGAGTGGAGGGATGGTGCTGTGTCTCAACTGCAGCAAGATTGTTGTTTAGCCTTTCTAAATTCATAGCCAGTATGGCCATTAATATATGTTATTATTTGTTTTGCTCAGGAAGCGAGGGATGTGAGCAGTGCTGATGCCAATGGACGATGGTGGGCATTCAATGTTACCCCCGAAACATTGGTGATCTTGGAGAAGAAAACTTGCCCCCAACACCTTCAGAACCTTGGGTGCTTAGACACATGCACCACGCTGCAGCAAGTCCTTCGAGAAATTCAGGACTCTGGAGAGGCCAGGCTGAAAAGTCACCTTGAAGCCAATGGTCGTGAACAAGGGCCCAAATATATCATTATTATTTCATTATATCACTATATATATATCAGTATTATCTCATTATTATATCAATATACCGATATATAATTAAATATATTATATTTATCATTATCATTATTATATCATTATATCGTTATATATCTGAAGAGATAAAACAAATCAACTATAGCATTATTTTAGAATTTTTATCCCATCGTTCAATCGGTATGAGCATTTATGTTGGAGTGTGGCACCCAAAAGCGAATAACTATCCCTGTTAACGACCAAGTCCGGGTTTAAAATCAGATGAATTTGGTACATTACCCCCAGGTGTGGATACTATCAGGATACCATCAGGATACATCAGGATACCTATATCTTCATCACCAACTCATGAACCACTTTTGTTTGGTCTTGTGGTGTCTTATTCATAGTGACTTCACAAGGGACAACAACCTTCACAGTTTTTCCGGTGACTTGAGGATACATATGGCTACCTGACAGGCCCATAAAATCACACGATGGCATACCATTACATACTGTGCCAAATATGTCTATTTCAGTTGTCAATTACTTGGATAGGCGGACTACGCTAAACACCATTCATGCCTGGCAGGTGAAGATTTCCGTTTCCCATCACAAGACCACAGCTGATGGTACCTTTGAACTTGCGAAACCCTTGGTCTTCGTGATGGACCCAGCCAAGGAGGTAAAGGAGGAACCCGACAAGAAAAAGAGAAAGGAGTCTGTGACCATCAAAAATTTTGGTTCGAAGTTGGATTTGGGAAAGGTCAAATCTTGCTCTATGCTGGAGTTGGCCTGGAGGGTCAGGCCGGCCTCCCCCTAAAACTTGTGGGCCCCCTAATGTTATATCTGTGGTGTCTATATTTGGTTGGACCACTTATGCATAGGGCTTGAAAAAAACAAAAGACCTGACATGGTTCCTGATGTTTTCTCCTTCCTTCTCCATCGCCATTGGCTTTGGGTTGTTTCTGTTGGGAACCAATAAAACAACGACATGGGCTGTAATTATATCCCAATTGCATGTCCACTCTGTAGTCCTACAATGTTCCCCCTGTGATCTTTCCTTCTTGACAGGTTGGACAGCAGCTCGGCAGATGGCATGAAGAAGCTGGCCCCAGTGAGGCCAGTGACCGTCCTCACCGGAAGCCTCGACCTCTCTGAGGAGGTTGTGAAGCTTTTCTAGATCCTAGGTCTGATGCCTTGGAAATGGTTTGATTTGATACTATATTCTAAGTTGACAATTGAATCATAGTCTTCGTGGGACTTGTTGGCTTGTCCCTTCCTGGGTAAAGATCTTATGGTTGTCGGGTCGACTCTGTGGAGTGATCCTGCTTCTAGCTCCAGTGGTATAAACTTGAAACATCTTGCAGCCACTGGTCTACCTTGGGGCCCCTGGCGCGATGCCGCCAGTCATAGCAGTAGCCAAGACGTTGCAACCTGGTCGAAGTAGCTTGGGCATGGGCAGCTAACAGGTGTGTTGAAGCCAGTCAACCATATAACCTATAACCTTCCTAGGTCCAATGTCCAATGTGTTATAAGAATCATCATCATCATCATCATCCACATGATTTCAACACAACTGTTGTTTGTTGCCATAGATGCCTGAGAAATGAGTCAAGTGATTGGCCTTTGCAATGCTACATCAGTGGCAAAGAATTCTGTTCTTTTGTTCATATACTATTGAAAGTTTTTGCTTGAAACGTTGAGATGTTTGTTTGGCATCCCCAACCGGCCAATCGATTGTCAAGCATGCACCAAAAGATTTTACAAGTTGCTGCAACAACGAGAAAATGTGATTGGATTTGTCTCTGACTCTGATGGTGCAGAATTTGGTCGAAACTTACTTGGGTTCTTTGTCCAAAGCATCTTGGATCGGAAGCGGATTTTGGCTGTCAGGAAAACAAAGGATTGCTTTAGGGTTCGTCCGTGGCAAATACTTTTTCAGCCTCCAATGCCGAAACGAGTGGATGACAGTGACGATTCCAGCATCGAAGAGATTCGATCAAATCCCCAGGTGAGTTTCAAGAATCCAGCCCCTTGCCAGCTGTATCTAGCTCTACAGCCCCAACAAGGCATCAGCCATTAGGTGTTTCGATGTTTCAATGTTTCAAGTGCAAGGTTTCTCAACCACCTTTCCAAATAACATTAACTAAATCCAGTGGCAACTGTCCGCCCAGGCTTTCAACCTTCAAGTTACTTTGGGAGAGGCATTGGTGACTCCCCCAGCCCGTCATGAACGTGGAGCCGCCTCGTCTGCCACACGTGCTGGGTTGTCCGGCAGCCTGGCAAGCTCTTCGAGATTCTTGGCTGGTCAGGGTTAGAGCCGGGGACTTGGACCATAATGCTTCCCCAATTTGTGCCTCTGAATTCCCACCTCAATAAGCTAGACGTCGGATTTTGGGGGTGTAAAATGGTGAACTAGGTAAAGTTCGGATGGGTGTTTCTTAAAATTGGGAATCGCCAAAATGGCTGGTTTATGAGAAAAAAAAACTGTTTGCAATTGGTGATTTGGAACTTACCCCAATTTCAGGAACCCTTTAAATTCCAAATGTAAAGATCATGGTTCACCAAGACTTAGTCCATTTCATGGTGGGTGATCCAAATCCAATATGCCATGTTGGTGCATCTCAGGACCTGAGTCATCACCTGGTCCTTCTCACAGCCTGCCTGCTCGTTTTTCTGAGTCAGACAGCTCAGAGAAGAAGAAGAAGGACTTAAAATGTAGAAAAAATGAGACCACGAAGAAGGCTGAGAAGAAAGTCCAGAAACACCACACCAAAGATAAGAAGAAGGACAAGAAAAAAAAACTAGCGGATGATGATGAAGCTGCTAGCGACCCCCCGTCTCTTTCCGAACATCGTCCTTTGGATGGTGATGATGATGATGCTGATGGGGATGGTCCTCCTGGGGTCCTTGAGGGTTCATGTCCCAAAGACCCCAAACCTACCAAGAAGCCTGCTGCAAAGGGTACAGGAGCGACTCGTAGGCCCAGCAAGCGTCCTGCCAGCAAGAAGCATGACGACGGCTGTGACACCGAGCCAGCGCAGGATCGGGATGCAAGTTGCCATACTATTCAAAGGGTTTCCATGTGACCAAACATGTGGTCATATTTGTTTTCGTCTGACCAATTCAATTCCAGTTTCTTTCCCAAGTCGTCAGAACATGTTGTGTTGCAGGATGGCAAGGCATCCATCCAGGAATGCATTGACATGTTGGACCCTCCAGAGGTTTCCCAGCCATGCATGCCGGGCACGTGCCCTGCTTCAAGTAATTGATTGGCACCCCTAAGTCGCGATTTTTTTCATGTGTTGCTATCAGCAATGAACAAAAAAATAGTGTCTTGGCAAGAACCGGTCGATTTGCTAAGGTACGTCCCTGTGACTCCCGACAATCAGGAGGGCTTGAGTCCCCATGATGTGTTTAAGGACTATACTCGTTTGGATGGGTTTGCAGCTAGGCATGCACATGGTGCTGGCCTGGGTGTGCTGCAACACATTGGCAATCCATAGCGCCATATGCCAAATTCCTTAGTCACAGTCACATCCCGCAATCTCAGGAGACTCCAAAGTATGATGGTGCTTTGGAAGGTGATTCCCTACTTTTGGACCCCGAGGCGGGGTGATGCATGATGAGGAATGAAGAATTATTTGATATGATATTATTCTATATGTTGATATGATTCTATTCGATATTATTCTATGATGCATGTTAACATATTCCAACGGAACTATGGTTGAATGGTTTTTCGGAGTATAACCCTGGGTCTTCCCATATCTTCCCATATCTTTCTGCCATTTCTTCCTTTTGCACTTACACATCCTCGGATCGCCTCACAAACCTTCAGAGGAGAAAGCCGATGCCCCAGCCAAAGAAGACAAGGAGAACCCCGGCAGAAAGGGCCAACTACGAAGGTTGAGAAAGTGCCTTAGTTTCGATGAGGTGGACACTGCTGATGGAGAGCTCTCCGGAGCAGCGGAAGCACTTTCCAAAGAGAAGGAATCTGTGGAGAAGTTCCTCAACGAACATGTGGCTATGGCATGTGAAGACAGCCTCTCAGCCGAAAGAGAAGCTGATAGGCTGATCGCCAAGTTGTTGGAAAAGCCTGGATGTCATGAAGAACCTGGAGAAGAACTCGCTGAAAATATCACACCCACTGTGGCAGAAATGACTCCTGACAAAGCTCCACTTTCGCCAACTTGGAGCCTCTCTCCCGAAGCGCAGTTCAAACCTCCCAGGGCCAACCGACCTGTGCAAGCCCCAAAGCCACGGTCCACCGCAGCCAAGTCAGCCCCGAAGAGCAAGCCTACTTCAAAGGAGAACCGCGACCCGAACAAGGGAAAGGATGACAACAAGAAGAAGGCCCCCACCAAGACTGAGAAGAAACTTGATGGGAAGAACCTGCCTGCCGACGAGTTGGACCCGACCAACACCAGTGAGAAACCAGCTGCCAAAGTTCCTGGCAGGAAGAGAGGTAGGGTGCCTACAGAGACCGTTGAGAAGACTCCTTCCGGCAGTTCTGTGACCAAGAAGGGCAAACGTGCCAAGAAGGACGCAGACAAAGGTGCTGAGGATGACAAAGACAAGGACACCAACTCTGACAAGAAAGACACGGCCGTCCCAGAGATGGAAGAGGAGAAGCCAAAGGAGATGGGAGAGGAGATGAAAGATGAAGATGTGAAGGTCTACGCGGACGGATGGACCGATTTGTTATTGAAGAAGAAGTTGCACTCAGTGCCCTAGTCAGCACTAATCACTGAAAAATGGGAACAAAAACATTATGCTATGAAAACAATAAAAACAACATAGTTGTCCACAGTGGTCATGCCATATCTCTGATTTTTTTGATGTGCACCTGACCTTATCTTCTTCCCAGGTTTACAGCTCTGCCTCGAAATTGTACAAGGGCCACAAGAACCAGGCTGAGTTGTCCCGAGCTGCCCGTGTCAAGTGTCTTGGAATGAAAATTATCTCATGAAAATTAAATGTAATCATATGCAATCATATGAAACCATGTGACCATGTGCAATCAGAATTGGTCTAACAACATCATTTCTAACCAGAAAACTGAGCTACATTGCAAAGCTAAGGTGGGCAAAGGAGTTCGGACCACGTGAGAGCCCTGTCATTGCTCCCTACTTGGATCAGTAAAAAATGATCCACAATTTGCTTTAGCAATTTAGATGCCGATGGTACAAACCTTGGCTTTGCATCCAAGTTTCGAGGACCAGCGATGGGGCCAATTGATCGCAGGTCTGCTTGATCAAAAGACTGTCACACTGTGCAGCGGCGCGGTGGCTGAGCATGACACATGAAGGGCCAGATGATACATGGAAAGGATCCAGATAGAACCGCACTTGCATATATGTATAAGCATACATATAAGCCAACTGGGATCCCCCGCACCGTAGGCTGCCTCGCCAGATCGGGATTCCAAAGCCCCTGGCAGTTGGTATCTGGGCGGTCACGCGTGGCTGCCAGGGAAATCTCGGTGCCATGCAACTGTTGCATATCGTTGCAACACGTTACATAACATGTTTGCGAACATTCTTGAGAAATCTTGAGAACATGTTTCGATATGTTTCAATAAATATTCAAATGTATTTTATTGTGTTGTTTCAATCATGTCAGGCTGTCTGCTAGAAGGAGGCGCTCCATCCTTTCGAAGCTCTGCTGTTCGAAAGCCCTTCTGGGCCAAGGGAGCTCCTCCATAGGAGCGGAACGATTTGTTTAACAAAAATCGAGCCAACTTGGCCAGAAAGCAACAGCACTATTCCGACATACAAGGCATTAGCTGTGACTGATCGAGCAAATAATCAACAAAATTGACGTTAATTCAAATGCCGAGGCCTGCCCGACAAAACTTGTTCCGTGTAATTTGTCGACCTGTATCGTCTGAAATAGCTGACATAGCATGACATAGCTATCTTGTGCAGCTCCTCCCGTTTGGGTGCATCTGGGTCATTCAACCAAGCCTCATTTCAAACAAATGCGTCACAATAATTCGTGGAACGAGAACATGACACATTCAATTCGCAACCATTTCCTCTATACCCACATGCATTACAAAGATTTTGCATATGAGTGGCGGACAATATCTCGCAATGGACATGGCCAAAGTGGGTGGTCCCCTATCGGTTGTGAAGGTTTGTACTTCCATGCTATGTGTAAAAGTAGGGTATCGGTAAGTGGCTGGTTCCGTATCGGTCGTGACAGTTTTCACACGAATTTGAACATCCCAAGCCCACTTCCTACTACTTTAGTCTTCCGCTAATTTTACCGGTTACTCGTATGCATGCGTGGTCCATGGCAGAGCCGTTCAGAAACTTATGGAAATCAAGAATCGCTCCTGTGAATTTATGCTGCTAGGCCAGGCTCATTAACTGAGAACAACTGGGGACTGCGCAAAGTATCCACATGATTGCCATCGTGGATTGGCGCAACACCGGAATTTCCGCCCTGTATTCTGACCTTTGTGCAACAACAGTCTGCAACGATTGCCAATTGCAAATGGACCTTGAAATATTTCAAGTAAACCATCATATAAAGAAAGAGCACTTGGTGCCTACACATCCCTTGACCAGGTCGGGCAAAAACCAGTTTGGGGGAGGTGTGAGTTTGACATGAAGCAGGCAGGTCCCCAAGTATGAGCAGAAACAGACTTCAGCATGCAGCAAAAAATCAAACGTATAGAATAAGTATGAATCAAAGACGATACATTCTCGCTGCGTGGGACCAAGCCTTCTTTCTTCACAGTCCTTTCTGCAACCTTGCACGTCAGGCTTCAACTTTGACATCTTTGCCGTTGCTGATCTCACAGTCAGGAGAGGAACAAACATTCAAACAAAATCAAACAAAATGATATATTTCACCTCGGCCCATTGAAAAAGATGGAAAACAAACTGAGCTCAGAACTGCCTGGCCACAGCGACACATCACAGCCTCGGCGTCGTCCAAACTGCTACTTGCCAAGCCATGGCCGTGCCTCAGCTCCTGGCATCTTCCTTGGACATGCACTGTGCTGCGGTGTATCCTGACCCATCAAGAAGCTGCATGCCAACCAACAATGCTTACCAACATGCTGCCACCATCACCCGTTCGAACACGGACATAGACCACACCTTGAAGTCGATTTCTGAACTGCATGTGCTCAAAAATACGGAAGAACTCCACCGCGTAAGCGTCACACCTCTTCAGGTTTGCTGCCCTGTATTGTATGCTTACAATGACCACCATCATGAAAAAATAAGTTGCACCAGGGCATGCTCTTCCAACTTTCTTTTAAAGCCGCGGGACCCTACATAAAAAGGACCCGCTCCAAAACAAAAACGACCTCACCCGACAGTTCGTCCAACATCAACAGCTTTCCACGGATATCCATGGCTTTGCAGGCGAGATGCAAATTCCGATCGCCGCGCAGCACAAGCATATTTTCCTGGCCGAATGAATCCCCATATGGTTCCCACAGGGTACTACATGTTGTTAATTGCGTCTTCTATCGTCTTCTTCACACACACACACATATATATAAATAAATATTAATCACCATATATCATACATCTATAAGTTTCATTTAAGAGTGTGATAGTGTGAAGCTGCGATTTTTGGCCAGCACCAATGCACATGCAGTGGCTGGCATCGTTCGATTCCATGGAAGCTCTGGAGAAGTTGCCGGAGCCTTAGTGAAAACATTCTCTAGACTCTAGACATCTCTAGGCTCTCTATGGCTCTCTATGGCTCTCTAAATCCTACATTTCGGTTTCACTCTTGGTGATGATTCAGGTTTCGCCCTTGGCATGTGAAATATCATGATCTGTTGTGTTTGATATGTTTGATGCATTGATGATCTTGAAATCTCTTGCGGGAATCATGGCAAATCACCTGTAAATTTGTCAAGCATCCTTTCGGCACATGATTTCATTGGGACCCTGGCCAGTTATCACCTTGGCACGAAGTCAGGGAACAAAAAGCAGCTACAACTGAATGTTTGTGCGAGCTCCGGGGACGCAGCAATAGGCTCATCGGAGAAAAAGTCAATCAGCAGGATTTTGGTGTGAACGTATCGCACCTTCGCACGGAAGACGACTGTGATGACACGGCAAGTAAGACTTGTAGCAAGATGGCTATCTAGGAGGACAATGATGGCAGATCTCTTTGCCTACATGTGGCTCGTTGTTCCTTTGTCTGATTTGTCTGATAGTGTGTCATAATGTATCCATGCTTCTCTCTCCTCGCAGTTTTGGCACCTCCAAAGTTCAACATGTCACTCGTCACACCTGTCACACGTATCTTCCTGTTGGGCCCAGACGTGTTCGTTCAAGCCCGTAAGCTTCTCAGGTATCCAAGAACCGCCTCGGAGCAAAACAACGTTTCCATTTCAAGCACTTCACGCGGTTTCCATCCTTTTCATCCATTTCATTCATTTCATTCCATTGCCATGATGCCATGGCTTCCCTGGAGCACATTGAGGTCCCCGTCGTGTCGGGTCTCCATCGCCACGGGCTGGAGCCTGGTGCGAGGTGCGGCATGAAATGCATGAGGACCAGGTAGGATGCGCATGGATGTACTATAAGCATCTACAAGATTCTATAAGCATCTATAAGCTGTATCAGCCATCTTGAGCCATTCGCATCAGCTGTCCCTCGCCAAAGCACTAGATGAATGGAAAGCAGTATGGAAAGGTCTGCGCTTACTTGATACCAACTTACAGTATATGCCGTACTTAGCCGAACTTATGTGACCAGAAAGTGCAGCATGTACGAAGTACAAAGGCCCCATCCAATCACCGGAAAACAACAAGTTCACCTCTCAACATGTCTTAGCTGGAGCTGACAGGCCTCCAAATGCATGCCAAAAGCAACTTTGACGTTGCTCTTGCCTTGAAACAAGATGGCCAATATGGCTACCAGTAGGATGTTGGATTGTTTGAAAGGCATAATCTCCAAGATAATTAGGAACCTCTGACAGCCTCTGCTGGGCGACCAGTATATCGCAAACCTCCTGCTAGTAATGCCAAAAATCGGGGCGCTGACGTTGAAGCTCTTGCACGGCCTTGGACGAAAGATACAAACGAATCCAGCTGACATCAGCTGACATCAGCTGACAATGTGTCATACATGTTCTCCGCTTTCGGGCCAAGTCAATGCCACTGAGCTTTGAACGTCCCGTGATGCTTGCCAATTGCCCTGACTTTCTAAAAGAAGATAAGTCGGTATGGGCACTCCTTGCCATTGGCAAAAACTGCCCATGCTCTTTACAGCTCCACAGCCGCAGTGGCAACATACTCTCTCACAAGGGCTATCAATTCAACATCTTTTCGCCAGGATTATCATATGCATCTCATGCCTTGAGATTTCTTCCCTGCTGGATCTGGGGATGTTTGGGCAGTCCTGCACCCTGACTGCCAGCTGCAAGCAATGCTGGAGCCACTTCTCGGCCTTGGCACCAAAAGTCATTTGGACCCGGGTCCATTAGCATCAACGTCATCAATGCGCCATCTTTGGGCGCTGCACCAATACCGAAGGCAGCCGTGAAGGCCACGCCGGACCTCCAAGCATCAAGCAACTGAGGGTAACACATTCTGTCATTTGGAAAAATAACTCTGGGCTCTGAATGGTTTTGACATTTGATGCGGGATTGAAGTTGCTGCTTCTTGTTACATCTGCGCAAAGCTATCAGAGCCTCGCTCGTAGAATCAGCTGTGCAATGAAGGACAGTGAGTCCGCCCAGCCTAAGCGGGCAAGAATTCGCTGGATGTATTGCTAGGGCTATGTACACCCAAAGATGGGTATCAACAATTAAGCCAAGGTTTATGTATGCTCACGTTATGTACAAAATAGACAGATTGCAATTGCTGAATTCAAGGTGGAATAGGTTGAGACACTATGCATCATCGGATGTCCTGGTCTTCTGGAACACGAAGCAGCAGTCCCGTTTGATTTAGGAAAGGAAACAGTTCTGGGGGCTCTGTGAACATGAATGACGATCAAGTAGAAAGAACCTATGATCTTGAAGGCTTGCTGGAACCAACTGAAAGGCCTCCAACTCCAAGGCCCAAACAAAGCCTCGGGGAAAAAAGAACAAGCCGCGTCCAATCATCCTTCGAGAAAGGCAAGCCATGGCAAGTTCAGGTGTAGGACCCTGGAGCCATAACAACAAGGCAAACGATTGCAGCAGGATACCACTTCAATTCACGATGACGATATAATTAGAATAATTAAGAATGCTCGCCGTTCCATTTTTGTCGTCATTTCTCCATGTCCACAACCTTCTCCAGCCGCTGACCTGGCTGGGCAGCGGAGTGCCTTTCTCGTTGAAAGCAGCTAGCTCCTGATGCTCCCCATTTTCATTCAAAGATCACGCTAGGCCCGCTGAAACCGTCCAATTCCTCAAAGCCTACAAAAGAGTAAGGGGTCAGTGAAGTCAGTCCTTCTTTTCAGGGTCCTGAAAGCAAAGTGGCAGATAACATAGCATATTGGGCTGTGATGTGGCAAGTGGTTGGGACAAAATGTGGAGGAGTCCTGAGATAGCCTTTCCCAGTACTCCAGGTACTTTTGGCAAATTTCTGGCCTCAACATCAGCTGCCATCAAACCAGAACCAGTCACCAATCTTCCTCACCATTCCCTTGAGACTTGCGCTGCGTCACGACATGGCCCACATTGGAATGACCAAAAATGGCACCGGCGGTGATGTTGGTGGAGCCCGTCCTAGCAGAACTCACAGCCACTTATGCCACTGATCTTGCAGCAGCGCAGCAGAACTTTTTCGGAGCTCGACTGAGGAGAATGCCATACAGCGACGGCCTGGCCATCTGGATTCAATAGGACGATGAATTTGTGGCCTGAAGCAACCATTGGCCATGGTGGGGTCGCAAGCACATGCAAGCACATCTATTAAATATATCAAGCACTTTTAAAGAAGGATTCGAAAGGATTCTAAAGGATGCAAAAAAGGCCAAATGCATCAAACTCCGAAAAGCATACTCTCAACTCATGTTGCACTGCTCCGGAGCTGACTCCGTATTATATTTCTGCACTTTCTGTGAGTTGCTCAATTGCTCAGTTGCTCGCTTATGGCGGAGGCTGGTTGCGTCCGATAGTAAACACACCTGCAGTGCTCGCAGTGGTCACAAATCTCACAGTGCTGAGGTCCGCTAAGGGTGTGGCCCAGAGTTGAGGAAACCAGCGTCAGCTAACGCCCAGTAATTCAAATGTTGTGGCCCACGTTGAGTCCACACCTGTTACAGCTAAACAGGATGGACGGGCTCAGGGGTTTGAAAGGATGATAGCATCGGAATACAGCGGATGTTGGCATGGCCAGTTCATCCAATTCAAATCCTTGATGTCTGTTCCCGCCTTGCGATCCTCCGACCAAGAAGCCGCTTTCCAGTCGACGACCTGACAAACAACGGCAACAAGGAACAACATGGAACAACGACGCAGTGGCTCGACTGAAAAGGACCAACTGCAGCCACGTAGCGATGCTCACTGATGCACCGCGCCTCATACAATCAGCCAGGGCTTCAGCTCACCAACGGCATGGCCAATAAAAATCTGTCACGCAGTGATTCTGATGGCCAAATGATACCATGATCAAAAACGCACGCGGCAAGCCCGGCAAGCCCGGCAAGCCCGGCAAGCATCAAGCTGCAAGATACTGCAAGGGACTGGGGCTGTACCTCCTTGCATCTGCCAGTGCTCTGATGACTGGAGGGTAATGCCTCAAACAGGCCGTGGATATGGTGAGAATTTGAAATGGTCAACATGGCCAGCATTCACAACCCATCCAAGATGAATGTCATTTAAAGCCGCCATGCTTGCAACTCGCCATGAGTACTCCAAGTCTTTGCAGACGGCACAGCCGGCTGAAGTGAGCCAAAACATCCACAAGACCTTTAGACTTACTTACATTATAATGTAACCTTAGATTGATATTAAAAAATGTATTTTTCTGTTTCTCTTTTCAGCACTTAGTCAAACGGTCTGATTTGGTCCGCCACAAGTGCATCTGGTCGCACAAACAGATCAAACAGAAGGGAATTTGGGGAATTCAATCCGTCGATGCGCTGAGGGCGCAACGCTTCGTAAAAAGCACAACGTAGACCCCACTTGTCTCCAGCACGCTGGATGAAACCGAGCAACGCCTGCCATGTCCAAAATCACACCCTTGCTCGTAATTGAATGGCACATAAGCGTCATGTATGCTAATCTTTTGGTAAACAAGACACAATGGTAGGATCGCCCACCCTCATGAGCCCGCAAGGAAAACATGTTGAAACATAGTAATTAACAGCCATGGGAGTCCCAATGGGAGTCCCTTGACGGCGTTCTGTACCACGAAAGAAACATGCACCTCTTCCAGACCGTGGGACAACCATTGCCATTGCTCAGGGCTCCTTGGCCCAAGCCTCAGCCCAATAAGGCCATGTCTTTGTCGACGTTCTCTACGGTTCTCAGCTGATCTCCAGATATCTCCAGTGCTTCAATTTCAGCGGCGCTGGAAAATGGTTCATGAATGGTTCATGATGTTCACCATGGTTGATCTATGTTCATCTATATTCATCTATGTTCACATCTGTCCCTGAGAAGTTTCATGGCGTTTCTTGGCGTCTGCTTTGGCCATTGAACGTGCTGAACTAAATATTGTGACATGCGATGACACGCGGCAAATTGTAACGCAGAATCACGCAGAACTGGGTCCTCCGTCTCGCGTGTGCCTGAAGAAAGCCGTGAGAACCGTTGTGAGCCTGCAACGCCACGATTGAAGTGAACCTGCGCACGAGGTTCGTCCAATTTTTGGAGAACATATGTGCGGCTGTCAAAACTCCTTGTTCATGAAAAGGACATCAACATAATTTGGAAAGGTCCCATCGCTAACCACAGTTTC